GTAGTAGCTATTACAAAAGTAAACACAACCTCAGGCCTACGATCATCCTCTTTGGATTTTATCCAAATAAAATAAGAATTCATTCCTACCCAAAGACTTCTGTATGAATGTTTATAACATGTTGAAATTACCAAAACTTGGAAGCAACCAAGATTTCCTTCAGAAGGAGAATGAATCAACTATAAGTTGTTCAAGCAATAAAATATCATTAAACAGAAATAAGCTATGTGAAAAAAAACATGAAGGAACTAACATGTTACTGCATCTAAGAAGCCAATATGAAAAAGACACATAAGACGTGACTCCAACTGTTCTGGGAAAGGCAAAGCTACAGGCACAATACACAGATTACACAGTTTCCAGGAGCTAAGAGGACAGAAGGGTTAGATAGGCGGAACACAGTGTATGGGAGGGTAAATTCTATAAAGTTATTCTTCATGTCACCCCGATGATGGCTACAGGTCACATACAGTTCTATAAAGTTATTCTTCATGTCACAAGAATGATGGGTACAGGTCATTCTACAAGTCTGAACTCCATAGAAACAAGAATACCAATAACCAATCCTAAGGCACACTAGAAACTGTGGTTGGTAATGACATCTCAGCATTGGTTCTCATTGAACCAATAGTTTCCTCCAGAAGGATGATGATGGAGGTCTGCTGTGCACACTGCAGAAAACACATGGAAAACTTCTGTGCTTTCTTGTTAATATTTGTTCTGATGAAAAGTTTTAATTACTTTAGTTCTTTAAATGGTTTTATTGAAAATATTTTTTCATATGTTCTGAATATGATTTCCCCTCCCCCAGCTCCTCCCAGATCTTCCGTCCCCCTTCAACTCCACACTCTATCTCTTTAGAAAACACAGCAGAGTAAAGAAAATTTTTAAAAGAAAAAGCCCAAGAAACACACACATTCGCAAACACAAACAAAATCCATTAAAAACACAAAATCATAAACTATAATTTATGAGCAAAATACTAGTAAGGAAAAAACTGCAAGCAAAACAATATGAGACAAAACATCTACAAAAATATCATTGAGTTCATTTTGTGTTGCCAATGGGACTAAGTATACAGACCCACAGCCAGACATATGTAGAGCGAGAGACCTTGAAACATTCAGTCCTATGATGTCTCCATAACACCCGACATAATAGGATGCAAAAAGAATGTAAGGGCCAGAGGGAAAGAAGAACACCAAGAAAGCAAGACCTTCTAGACAGAGCAGGACAGACACATACATGAAATCAGAGACTGGGGCAACATGCGCAGGGCTTGCACAGGTCTATACCAGATGAGACACAAGCCCCACCTCTGACCCAACATGCGCAGGGCTTGCACAGATCTATACCAGATGAGACACAAGCCCCACCTCTAACCCAGAAGCTGCCTCCAAATGATAACCACTCACAAATGGAAAATTAATTTTCCTCAACATAATCTTACTAGATATACAAACTACTCTTAAGGCAGTCCCCATGTTCAGCAATAGGTAGACAACACAAAATGAACTGAATGGACTCTTTGGGGGCTCTGTGTCTCATAAGGTTTTGTTAGAGCATTTTTTTAGCTTTACAGGTCCTTTGTGTTTATATTATGACTTCTGGTTCTGTGTTTTCATGGGATTACTATGTGTGTGAACATGCGTTTCATTGCATCTATCTGTATTTCCTGTGCCTTTTCTTCTATTTGTTTTGTCCTGCTTTGATTTGTTGGGTTTGTGTTATTTTCTTATTATTCTTTAAATGCCTGTTTTGTTTTCTAAGCACAGAACCGGTGTGTATCTGGAAGGGAGGAGAAATGGGAAGGATCTTGGAGGCATTGGGGAAGGGGGAACAGCAATCAGAATATATTGTATGAAAGAAAAAACCCATTTTCAATAAAAGAAAAACAGAAAGAGAGGAAATATTCAGTAAATTGTCAGCTGGCCAAGGAAGTTTTCTACCCGTAGATCTGGCCCTTTCTCAGCCCTGGGCAGAGGAGCTTCTTAAGGTGGTGGGTGTGGTCAATGCAGAGACTGACAGCTGGTCAAAGGGTCAAATATAAGCGTCTGTTGTGCAATCTATCAATGTGACCTCTGTAGTACCCTTTCAATGCTCAAGAAAGGTAAAGGAAGAGGGAGGGGAAGGAACGTTCAAGCTGGGATTCGGAAAGGAGTGTTGTAAAATGCTGGTCTCTGCACATGCCGGGAGTGTTGTACCTGTGAACTCACAACAGCTGTTGGGGTTGTTTGTGCAAGCCCTGCACAAGACTGGTGTCATCGATGTCCCACATGGATAGGGAAGGGACTTACACTGACCGTTCCAGCCAGCTGAGCTATTGGAAGTTGATTGCCGGGGGGGGGGGGGGGGGGGGTCTTCTGCTTCGGTGTTTTAACGGTTTGTAAGTTTGCCATTTATTCAATTTCAGGTAAATTTTAACAATTTTACTTTCTCGCTGTGAACAATCAACAGTCTTAAAGTTCATGGAAATTATTAAATTATCCACCATCTGTGATTTAAATAAACATGGAAATAATCCTAGAGCAGATTTATTTGAGGAAATATATGCATTTACTAAGTAGGAATAAGAGCATAAGTGATATGTGATATTTGACAAGCATGGTACAAGCATAAACGTAATCAACCATTTATAGAGGTGAAGTCTCTAACAGTGTCTTTCATCTTTCATTGTAAAATACAATAAGAACTTTAATTTTTTTTTTTTTTTTTTTTTTTTTTTTTTTTTTAAGTTTTTTGAGACAGGGTTTCTCTGTGTCACAACTTGAGCTGTCCTGGAACTTGCTTTGTAAAGGAGGCAGACCTCAAACTCACTGAAATCTGCCTAACTGTGCATCCCAAGTGCTGGGATTAAAAGCATGCACCACCATTGCCTGGCTAAGAGTATTTTAAATAGGGGGAGTAGGAGAGGGCTCAGCAAGTAAGAGTGCTTGCTCTGCAGGCTTGGAGGCTTGAGTTTGAAATCCCCACACCCATGTAAAAAACCCAACATGAGCAACTATAACCCTAGCAATCTGGGGGACAGAGACACAGGATCCCTCACAGTGCTTGCTGTCTGCTAGCTTAGCTCCAGGTCCAGTGAGACCTTTCCCTAACAGTAGAATGGAGAACTATAGAAAAGTGCACCTGACGTCCTCTTCTGGCTCCTACACACCCACGTGCATACACCACATACACACATGCATACACAGATTACAGACACACACAACATTTTTTAAGGAATGTTTTAAACAAAATAGAATGTTGCTTTTAAAGTTGGAGACAATTCTGACAGACTTGCTCAACTCCCATGTTGATCTGATAAGAGGGACAGGGTGCTGTGCTCATCCCCCATACTTCCTGTTTCTATTTTGAAGATGAGTCGCTAAAGCAGCTATTCTAAGGCATTTTTTTGCATAAATGCCCACAAAAGCACCCAACTTACCTATGGTTGGTTGCAACATTATCTGAAAACAGTGTCTGCTGTTCCAGATCCAGGGAACCGAAACCCGATGTGAGCACTCACTCGGTGAGGAGAGTTTTGGCTCTTTGTTGTGTTTATGAATACATTCTCTAATCACATTCCTATTGTCACCGCTTCTCACCTTATTTTCTTTAATGACCAATTTGTTCTAGTGCTTTGTACCTCCTAAGCAAACTAAAAAAAAGGATGGCAATCTGATTGGTTTCTCTTGTCTTGTTTCTGTAAGTCACATCTTGCGTTTGCACGTTAGCAAGTATGGACACAGGACACACACACATGCACAATTACATAGACCACATTCACTCATTCAGCAGCTCACGTGTTTGTTCCAGTGGCTTCTAGCTCTTGCCATCCACTGTATACTAAAATGGTGATGCTATTCAGTTTCAGAGTCTGAGAACTTAAGCCTCAAGCTGATGAATAAAATTATGATCTGTGTTTTAAACAATTAAACTCTATAAATCTGGAAATTCAAAAAAACTTGAAAATATAACCTCTCAAGCAGCTACAAAGTCAGAATTTAAACCTGAGTGATCTCCATATGACATACTTCATTACATATGATTCGTCCTGATTCACTGTATAAGAAGCAAGAAACAGACATTAATGAAAGTATGTCAGCCCCTACTGGTCAACTAACTATTCCAGACTCTTTCCTTTCATGAACCATCCTTCGAGTTTGCTCTCAGTTAAAGCACAAGGTGGTTTAAATGTTCAGTGTTGATTTGCCTTATAATACCTGATCTTGTTCATGACTCTTATTCATGTGTTCATATGTGCCTTGGTTCGGCAGCATAGCATCACATTTACATACATTACTTGATCCAAACACTTCTGCATTGGTTACAAATGTACTTACTATTCAATGATGAATTCTTTACTCCCTGAGTTTCTCAATCTAACAGGGTAGAGATAAACATCTTATTACCTTAGTGGTGAAAATATACACCCCCTCCACATCTATCTGGCATATTCTGTGTCTGTATTGCACCAATTATCCTTTCTAATCATTTTCTGAATTGAGTCCAAGATTATTTTCCTTTATATTAGAAAAATAAAACATGAGCTATAAATTGACATGGAAAATTGTCTTATCATGGAAGATTGGTTGGGAACATACAATCATTACGGTATTTATGATTAGTTAGTCAAATTGGGCCATTCATTTTCTAGAATGTGTAGTGAGCTGACCCAAACAACACACTTCTTTCTTCCCTGTAAGTCACTCTGATAGTTCCAAGGGAAATATTAAATTCACATGTTGGGTAAGGCATGGTCAGACTTAAACATTCTATTATGCTGCAATTTGTGCTATGAGTTTTTCCAGAGAAAAGTCTATTCTTCAAGGCTCTTGTACAAAACTCCTTCAGAGTTTTCAGGAGAAATTTTAACTAAGTATTCCATGGATCTTTAAGACACAGCCCCAGCACGAACCATCTGAAGGTGAAAATCCCAGGTTGAAGAAGGTTATTTGCTACTGGAGGTCCAGACAATGATATTCACAAGCCCTCCATGCCATGCATCATTGCAAGGTTTAACTTCTCCTACAAATGGACGCATACTCTGTGGGTGCCTCTTGCATGTTGCTTGACTGTCTTGGATTCCTTCCCATAATCGAATGTTTCAGGGAAGCATACACAATGCCCTGTTTGTTTCCCTCCGATTGTGAATTAGTTGTGGATTCAGAACTTTCCTGCCCACCTGAGCAGGGATCATTATCATAAATGGCAGTTTCTGAGGGCAGTGTTTGGGAATTTTCCCTGGGACTCACTGCAATATCAACCTATGAGAGAGAAGAGATACACCACGTAAGGACGTGACAAAACATATTCATTATTAGACTGTGAGGAAAAGGCTACATGATGTCATGCACATTGAAAGAGACCGTCTATTGTTCTTCATGTAAGCTACTTAATATCTACATTTTCAGTAAGCACTGTATTATCAAAAGATGAAAGGACTGGTTAGATTTTGAGTGTTGTGTTTGTTTGTTTTGCTTTGTTTTTTATGACCAGGTCCTTATGAATGTTAGGCAGGCATTTACCACTGAGCCCCTAAGGCCAAACATTTGAAGTTCCCAAGCAATTGTTTTATGTTGTATTATGGGCCATTTGAGGTCACACACATACACACAATGATCTTTCAATGGAAAAAATCACAGTCCAATTCATGGAAAAGAAAACTAATCCTATAAAAACTTTAGGCAGTCCATAACACATCGGCATGTGGAGCATAGAACATCAAAAGATTAAGCCCAAGGCAGAAAGACCTGAGACCTCCTGAGAAGATCAGGAACAGGAAGCATCATGGGTTATCTAAGACACATTATGATCAGAGAACTAAATTGGAAAATGAAAGCCAATTTTGAAAGAATAAAGTTTCTATTAAATTCTAAAATATTATTCTAGTTGCTATTTCTATCATAAGAAAATCAAAATCTGGTACTTTCAAATAGTACCAGAGACCTAAATGGTGTGAGATAGGTGAGGGGGGTTGTGGAAACTAAAATGAATCCTGTTATTTTCTCCCTCTTTTCAGTTATTGTTAGCTGCTCCTGATTATACAAAAAGTACGAATGGTAAAAATGGTGATGTGTTAATATTAAGGCCATGTGTTAATAATTTCAGCCATGGGAGGGGTGGGGTGGGTCTGTATGTTTGTAGGTAAGGTGCACTCACCCACGTAAGTGCATGTAAAGGTCAGAGGTCAATGTCAGGTTTCTTCCTCTATTCCCATCTACCTTACTTATTGAGAAAGGTGTTCTCACTGAAGCTCTACTTCAACTAGGCTTTCAACTAGGCTGGGTGGCCAATGAACCCAATTCAACCTGTTTTCACATCCTCCCCACCGCTTGGTTTCAAACTGTATGCGACCACACCCAGATTTGATGTAAGTGCTGGAGATCCAAACCCATTTCTCAAGCTTGCAGAGTGCTATACTCACCTGACCCTTTTCCGGGCTCTATTCTGACTTTTTAAAATCTCCATTTTGTCAGTCAAGTTATGCTCTTCCTAAAAGTTCTTGATCTTTTGACTATTCATATTCCTATGGTGCTTGGAATGTCTCACTGTGACATTTGCAGAAGGATTTCTCTTATATCTGCTGGGGAAAGCTCTGCTCTAAAAATATGCTTCCTCCTAACTTGAGAAATGAGGCAGTAACTGCCGATCCGCTACAATTTTCCTATGAGGTGAGCGCTTGGAAATAGCACTATGGCTGGAGGTCTGAAAGAGTCGAGCGTGGGTTGGCTAGGATGGAGATGCCCCCACACAAAGTGAACCTACATGTGGGACACTGACGATTGTCAAGTGAATGGATAAAGAACTGTGAATTCTCTGTATGTCTACCAAGGTCCCTGCTATCCTTTCCAGTCTTTAGTAGGCTGTCAGCTCGACTTGGCTCTCTTCACCAGAATGACCCATTCTCATAGAAAACTCTGTTAGCACGAGCATGGTTCTTTGCCGCTGAAGTTCTCCTGTGACACTCTATGAAGGCAGGGGATATCACAAGGCAGGTGCAATACAATGTGATGGCCAGAGACAATAAAGGGTGTTAGACAGAGCTAGCCATCTCGCCTTACATACTTATTGTACTTAGCTGTTGTAAGGCTCTTTTAAAATAAGCATGCTGATTTATAATTCACTTTCCAAAAGCCTCACCCTTTTAAGTATATTATGACTCAGTGGACTTTCCTGTATAATCACATTTATTCCCTTAGAACAGCAATTCTCAATCTGTAGGTCATGAGCCCTTTGGCAGACCTCTGTCTCCAAAAATATTGACATCCTGATTCCAAACATTGGTAAAATTACAGTTGTGAAGTAGTAATGGAAACAAGTTTATGGTTGGGGGTCACTGCAACATGAAGAACTGTTTTAAAGGGTCGCAGCATTAGGAAAGTTGAGAACCACTGCCTTAGAAGGACTATTTTGAAATAAGATCATAACTTTGGACTTTTCAGCTTTGTTATATTATTATGTTTCATTGCCATATAGTAACTATATATATATATATACATACATACATATATATACACACATATGTATGCATGTATATATACACACAATAGATTTGTTCACATGCAACCTCCATTGGTCTCTTTTATCCCCTTTGCAATCCTCCCAATCGCCTTTCTCTTCCCAACTTGTTCCCTTTCAATTTTTATAGATTTCCCACCAATGAATTTCATTTTGGTAGTTTGTAATAATGTAGGTGAGGGTTTATTTACAATGACCACACTGAAAATTGGCTCTCACTGTGCATCAGTTGTTGACTACCATGTGAGTCCCCTCCCACTCCACACCAAGTTGTATATGCGCCTTGTATTATATAAGTATTATGCAGGCAATCATGACTGTGAAAAAATCTGGAGTGTGTGTGTTAATGCCATATAAACTTACTGAAAAAAATACATATGTATAATAGAAAATGTATTTGTCTTAATAGATACTTCAAACATACCAGGTTAATTTCCTTTCCTGCTGAGTCAGAATTCTTCTTTCCTTTCCCTGAAAGATTGAGAAAAGGAAAAGAAAAAGGATATCAAACAGTGTTAAGAAAGCAAAGCAAACTATCCCATTATGCCCACCCCATTGCACGCCAGCAATCATATTGTTAGTTTTGCCTCCTAACTATGTTGGTTAGCATGTACCACACACATCTCAGTCTGTGAGAATGCACATGCCCACTTTCCTCCCCTCACTCCTTATATCACACAACAGTCTTCACATCCAAGAGGAAGGAGTGGGATCTAGTAAAGAACAGTTTCGGATGGTTGGGAGTCATTGTATACTCAATGTTAAAAGTGCTGCTGTCATCTCTGTGATATATGAGACAGCTATATCATACTCCTCCTCCAAGGCTCAGGTAACATTGAAGAAAGACTGTGAAAGCCAGAGGTTGGGGCAGACTGAGGAAAACTATCTTCTGGCCATGGTTATGCCATTGTATCAAGTAACTCACAATATCTTTGATTTCTTCCACAGACCTTTGTAAGATTAAGCCAGCCAGAATCCCAGTTCAGGAGCCCTGCAACCTTCAGTCTGATGACAGAAGAGGGGTGCTAACTGAGCAAGAGCTAGTTCTTTTAGGGGTGTAGTTTCTGATAGGTTTTCATTCCCCAGTGAATCTCCACAGCTATATATGTATATGAACAATACTAATAGACTCGATGGGATATGTATTGTGGCTGTCTGATTGTAATTGGCCCCATAATCTCACAGAAGTGACACTATTAGGAAGTGTGGCTTTGCTGGAGTACATATGGCCTTGTTAGAGAAACTGTGTCATTGTGTGTGTGTGGGGGGGGGCTTTAAGGTTTCCTATGCTTAGAATACTGCCAAGTGTCTCAGTCAACTTCCTGTTGCCTGCAAGACAGAGGACTCTCAGCCACTACTCCCATAATATATCTTCATGCATGCCACCATGCTCCCTAGCATGATAAAGAACTGAACCTCTGAAACTGTAAAGTGAGCCACCACAATTAAATATTTTCCTTATAAGAGTTCATGGTCATGGTGTCTCTTCACAGCAATACAATCCCTAAGACAGGAGCTGGTATCAGGGACTGGGGTATTGCTATGATAGGTCAGACCATGTTCTGGTTTGGAGGAATTTGGACTTTGGTACTTTGGGTTAGGGAAAGAGTGGATATTTTAAGGACTGCCTAATGGACCATACTGGTAGGAACATGGAAGACAGTGGAGCTGACTGTGAATTGATGAACTGTGGAGGGCTCCTTCAAGAGGTTACAGAGGAGAATTTTAGTATGTTTCCTAGAGATTGTTCTTGTAATATTTTGATGAAGAAAATGGCTGCTTTTGCCTTTGTACAGCTAAATTTCCAACTTGTTAACTTGTTTAGAGATTGGTGTGGTGGTGCACGCCTTTAATTCCAGAACTGCAAAGGCAGAAGCTGGCAGATCTCTGAGTTTTGAGGCCAAACTGGTCTACAGAGCAAGTTTCAGGACAGTGAAACAAAGGCAGTGAAGAAATGAAAGTTGGTGGTGATATAATTGAATGGGGTGAGGGAGGGTCTCATGTTCTGGTACCAGTAAGCAGAAAAACTTGGCAAAATGGGTTATAGAATTTGCCTCTGCACCAAAAAAAAAAAAAAAAAAAAAAAAAATCTTAAAAAAAGCCATTGAGGCAACACATGTGTCAAGAGCATCCCTGAATGGAGGCCTAGCGAGGCCTTTGTATGAAGCTGTGAAGTTGAAGCCTGGACTGCCTAGGAGAACCCAAGACATTAGAGATGCCAGAGTCATGGGACAGTTGCCGAGGAAAGCTGCTAACACAGAGTAGCAGACGCCCAAGAGGAAAAAGGTGTGTTACAGTCAACAAAGCTGACCAGAGTTGGAGATCTGAAGAATATTTTAACATCAGACATGGAGATGCAGAGTGTGGAGTTTGCCCAGTGGGTTTTCAGTCTTGCTTTGATCCAGTATTTCCTCACTGTGATTCCTTACCTGCTTTTGGGGATGGTAATGTATATCTCATGCCATGGCATGCTGCAAGTGATTTGTTTTTAAATTTGATTTCGCAGGGAATTATAGTTAAGAGATTGCATGAATCTCACAAGAAACTTTGAGTTTTGGACTTCTAAACATTGTTGAGACTGTGACAGACTATGGGGACTTTTGAATTTGTACTAAATGCATTTTGCATTATGATGTTTTTACGAACTTATGGGGACCAGTTTCTTGGGCTGTGTAGTTACAGATACAGAGGTGGGTTTGCAGTGGAATGTCTGAGCACTACAAAAGTGCTCTGGGATCCAGGAGCACTTCCACCCAGACAAAGCTTTCTCTTGTGGCGTCAAACACGGGATGCTCTGTCCTACCCACTTTAGAGCTACACTGTGCTCCTATTATAGAAAGGGGGGACATGGAAAAGAACAAGGAAATAGAGACTATAGATGCACCAGATCAGCATGTCTCTTTTGTTGAGTTTTACTGTTCAATGGTGACAATGAAGACACGGTTTCAAAAGGAAAAAGCAACCCTTTTCAGAATACCACAGCTCTCTCATTATAGGCAACTCCACGTTCTCAAATGCAATGCTACTGAGTAAAAACTGGATTCAAGCATGTGTTTATAATAGCAATAGAAAGCACAAATACATTCCTGCTAGGGACAATGATAGTTTATTTAGGTAAGGATGGGTATCATTGGAATTATGTGTAATAGCTGTGGAAATGGCTCAAAAAAAAAATAACATGTTGGTTCAAGAGATTGTTTCAACCAGCCTTTCAATGTGGTTAAAGCTTAGGAGAATGCTTTCTTGTTCACACCTAAGATTGATGTGTATAGAATGAGAAAGTTCCAGCAATGCTAGTCTAGGGTTGTGGTGAGTGTGCCTTGCAATGCCTAGACCAAGACCAAATTCACGCATATAGTTTTCCAGTGGCAACCAGTAGTTCCCCAGGAATCATTATCCAGAAAGAAAATACTAACCAGCTAAAAATCCATCAGCCCTGGAAAACAAACCCCAAATGTGTGGCACATGAGGTCAGAGGGAAATTGCAACCCACCTTGGTGCCTTTTCAGGAAACAGACCAGGCAGAAACAGGCAAGCAGCAAAAGCAGTGCCACCACAGGAAGCAAGCTGTAAAGCAGCCAGGTCCTGCTCCCCCTCTCTTCCATGGTGGGTGGTCCTGAGGCATTGGTGGCACCTGGGATATCAGACACTGCTGAAAACAGTTAAGAAGTCCTAGAAGCATTAGAGTTGGCAGTACCTCTTTGTGTTGTCATAATTTGAATGAAGGAACTAGCAGGCCAAGCCCTCTATTTCTCCTTTGGTGGTCCCAGTACCATCAACTACTATTTTTAACTTCTGTGAACATCTCACATTCTGCTTGGATGAGCTATTGTAGAAAGATCCCTATGGCAGTTCTCACAAACCACTTCGCCAGGCCCTTTCATTTATTTATTTAGTTCAGTGTTATGGAAGTCATTTTCTTAATACAGCTTTAGAACTTGAAAGGAATGTTCTGAATAGTGCCCAAAGACCGACAGCTCGTGAATGGCAGTTGGGACTCACACCAGCAGGTTTCTGATGCTGTACATTTGCTCCCTCTTATAAGTCATCATTACCTCCAAACAACAAATGTTTTCATTTTTACCAAATATGCTTTGCTTAGCATCTAGCTAGTGCTCATTCTGACTGACCTGTGTTAACATTCACCGATCCCTGTTTGATCAAGGTTGGATTTTAACTTATAAATGAGTTGTGACACAGCTCAGTGGATCAAAAATAGTGTTTTTTAAATAATATAAAACAAACTAGAAAATATCTGAATTCATAAGACACACTGTTGCAGTGATTCTCAACCAGAAAATTTCTCATCCCCCAGAAACACGTGGTAGTTTTAGCAGACACTTCTGATATCACAATGTGGGAGAGAATCTGCGTCCAGTAAGGAGAGGTCCAGGGCTTGATAAACCCCTTGCATTGCACAGGACACTCCTCCATTCCCATAGCACAGAAATCAAAAATTCCACTGTCTACAGATTTTGTGGATTTGCTTTTTATGTGTGTATACTCTTGTATATGATGTAAGATACACTATTTCTTTGGGGTCACTATTAACAATTTGTCAAAAGCAGAGAAGTATTGAACTGTATGTGTGATATCCCCCCTAGACCCCAGATCCTTTCTTTGAGGTTACAAACAATCAGGAGTAATTTAAGGAGGACATACAGTGAGCATATAGTTTAATGGTACAGAATGGTGGCAAATGTACTGCAGCTGCTGTTTAGGTTGGGCAAGCAGCCAAGAAGTAAACACAGCTGTCTATGGGGAGGCAGTTTGATGGCAAACAATAGATAATCTAATACAAACAAGCCCAATTAAGAAGACCTTATTCCCATTATTTATCTGATCATCAAACAAACTTGCTAATTTTGATTGGTTTCATACTTACTTGTTAGATGGTGTTCTGAATCATTTTGAGTCCTTTCTGAAACAGAAAATAAGACCAAGTATTAAAATGGCTTGATAAAACACAAAGGTGGTACTCAAACTAAGGTCAGAGTTATTAGAAAGGACTCCAATGTTGCCACAACAGAGAATCCAGTAATCCCGGCCAAGTTCAGCATGCATAATTCATGGAACTTCACTCTGAGATCATGGCATACAAAGCAAAGGAGTTCTTTTCAAGCCTAAAGAAAGACTACTGTCAACACAGCATAACCTTCATCTGACTTCTTTGGTTCTCTCCTCCTCGTTCTTCAGGTAGATGAACACATAGACCATGTGTGACCTCTGACACCTGCAATATAATAAAACATTCAACCCCCAGGTGCTCCTGAGACTGTGAATGACCACAGGATAAAGAAGTTCTGCGTGAGATCCTAGGTGTTCATTTTGAAACAAAGACTGTGCCTCTCACTTCCTGCATTCTCACACAACATGCATCTTCCTGCGCAGATAATGACCTCTGCATTTTTCTGATGTCCCCAATCAGAAACTGACCTAGGACAATTGAGAAGCACAGAACTATAAATCAATGTATATATTGGGATGGCTGTTCCTGGCTCTGTAGGATAATCTCCTTGTACTCTGCTTTGTTTCACAAGGTGCCTTTCCTCATTCTAGGAGACAAATGCTTTCTCAAGAATACCCAAGCCTCCTTCTGTCCACATTGGTTTTTACACAAACCAATTTCTATTATGAACCTAAAAAGCAAAGGTGAATCATATGCAAAAACGGGGGCATTCCCAGTATCTTCCCAGAAAGATATTTCAAGGGGGAACGATCAAAATACTTTTATTGTATTTCCAAATTTTACTAATTATAAGCAGTTCCAGAACATATTTATTTCTGCATTTCATAGGCAGTTCCCTGAGTACTCTTGGGTTCAAAAATAAATCCAGTATCTTTCCTCTTTCCCGGTAATCCCCATTTCCCTAAAGAAGACTATATATTTAGCTAAAATTTAAATTAATCCTAAAAAGAAATGTATTTGAACTCTACAAGAGAGCAACAATCCCCAAAAGCAAGATATGATTCCTATTTGTAAGGTACTATAAGTTTTGATGGAACTGGACATATTTTTATATAATGCACAGGGAAGGGAGATGTGTGATGAATGAGGGACATAGACCTTACAAAGGAAAAGGATAATTGTGATAGGTATAAAAGTGGATATTCTGAAATAGATGGGAATGGCATAGCAATGATGATGATGGAGATGAGAGAAGGCTGGACCTGGGAAGATGGGTCACGTGTATGCGCTTGAGGACCTCTGCTAAATCTTCAGTGTCCACATACGAGGTAGAAGATGACAGCTCCTGTCTCCAATCCAGTGCTAAGGCGGCAACAGGGGCATCTCAGTTTCTCATTGACTAGCCAGCCTAACAATTTCACCAAGTCCCGAGTTCACCGAGAAACCTTGTCTCAAAAAATAAGGTAGAGAACAATTGAGGAAGACACCAAATGTCACCCTCTGCCTTCCACATACACACTTGTGCAGACACATATATGTGTACTTGCATGCACATGTGCACACACAAAGATGGGGCAATGGAAAGTAGCATTGTAAAGCTTGGAAAGGTTCCTTCCTGAAGTGATCCAAGAAGGTAGGTAGAAAGCTCTGGAGAGTCATTACATAGTCTGGGCAATAGTCTCGCATGAAGCATGCGATTCGCAAACACTTTCTCATGTTCTATGAGGTGCCTTTGCACTCAGTATAATGATCTTTGATACAGAAATGTATTGAATTGTGACAGTCTTTTCTGTCTGCTTTTGCTGTTGTTTTATGCTTTTGTAATATCTAGGAAATGATTATAAAATGCAAGATCAAGACTTAGTTTTTTATGCAGATATATGGTTTGATGTAAAAGTAGTTTTGTAGGTTAATTTCCTATATTTAAATCAGTTGACGGTCTTGGAAAAGGTGACTCATACCTTTAAGCCCAGTATTTGGAGAAAGGGGCAGGAGGATCTCTGAGCGCCAGCACAGCCTAGTCTACACAGCGAGTTTCAGGCCAGGAAAGACTACACACTAAAACACAGTTTCAAAAAACAAAACAAAAATAACAAAAAAAAAATCCGAAAGGAAATTGAGAGCCTATAGAGATGACTCAGATGTTGAGAGCATTGGCTGCTCTTCGAGAGGGCCCAGGTCCAATTCCCAGCATTCACATGGTAGATAAAAACCATGTGTAATTCCAGTCCCAGAGGCACCAGCCATGTATGTAGTACACAGACATACTTGCAGGCTAAAACACCCATTAACAGAAAATAAAAATAATAGAAAAAGTCAATTGATCATAGACAGAATTTTATTCTACACTCTCAACTCTACTATGCTGATCTCACCACAGTATTTAAGTAGCTATATTTCAATAATGAAATTTGGAATAGAGAAATCTTTCTTTATGCAGATTATTTTGGCTGCGCAGGGTCTGTTACACAATATGATGTGAATTTTAGAATTAAGTTTGATTTGTTGGAGATGGTGTTCAATCTTGGGGTGTGTCATCATTATAATAGTGAGTCTTCCAAGATGATGACAATCGGGTATTTTTACATCTTAATTTCTTTGTTTATTCATGCTCCAAATCTGCTGCTTATGTGAGCATAACTTCTGCAAATTCTAATCAACAAAAAACAATGACGAAAAAAGAAAATGATATCATTGTGATCATTTCTGAAACATTTAGAGATAAATGTTTTAATCTCTAACGACAAGTACAGTCAGTAAGTGTCCTGCTGTGGCAGCACATACCTTTAACCCAAGCATGAGGGAGGCAGAGGCAGGTGGATCTCTGTGAGTTCCGTGACAGCCTGGGCTTACAAAGAGAGCGCCAGGGAAGCCAGACCCCATCTCAAAAAGACCAGTAACTTCTATTATTTTTTCCTCTACTGTTCTTGACCCCACCCTTCTCTCCCCCTACACAAATACTTTATGTCCTCTTTACTGTCAGCCTGGAAGAGGAGGTAGACTGTGGATCTGACACAAGTGTTCCAACTTTAACCACAGTGTCTGAAAGTCGGGATTGCCTCTTTCACAGCAACAGGATGGAAAAGCTATGGATGGTCTGGGGATAGAGCACTCACCTTTCACACGGAGGGCTATTATGTTGCTATTAATAACCAGAGAAGTAAAGTTTACAGAACAACCATACGACCCATTGTCACTGAGATATACTGGTTCAAAATGTAGAGTAAAAACTGAACCATGGTCCTTGTCTTCCCAACCAGTATGTTGCTGAGGTCCAATCTCAAGAGGTAAACAGTTTTTTCCACTGTACTTGCACCAAGTCACATTAGGTCTCTGAGCACAATATGTCACAGGACATTCCATTTTAAAGGACTCTCCCACTGTGGCATATTCTGAATGCCTGGGAACGGTAACTTGTACTTGACATGGCTCTTCACCTAAAACACAAAAGGAAAACTGGAATGAGTATGATCTTCTCGAAGAATCATATATACCACAGCAATTATTTCCACCAAAGATTTCTCAAACAGAATTCCATAATTTTCCCTCAATACTATTTTTTCAGTACTTTATCTCTGCTAGTTCAGTGTGGTGCATAGCTACACATAATCAATATTTGCTTTAAAAATAAATTGCTTCACTGAGTGCTGGAGGCTCACACATTTAATCCCAGCACTCTGGAGACAGAGAAAGGCAGATCTCTGAGTTCAAGGCCAGCCTGGTCTACAGAGCTAGTTCCAGGACAGCCAGGGCTACACAGAGAAACCCTGTCTCAAAAAACAAACATACAAACAATTAATTAATTAGTTTCATTCTCCCCAAAAAATAATATTATGAGTTCAGTTTTACAGATGAGGTTGAAATAGTAAAGAACTTGTTCATGGTTATATGCTAATAATTAGGAAAATTGAGACTTTAAAGTCATAATGAGGTCTTTACCATGTACCATTATTTTGTTTGTATTACTTCTCAGCCAGAAATCACATTTTCTAATACCATTCACTAATTAACCTATAATTGTATTATTTTAATAACACAAAAAAATCATAAAACTTAAAACTGTTTAATTATACCCCTTTCTTGAAACAAATACGTGTGCAATTTGGTCCACAAAATATTCATCCAGCATGGGTGTTTAGAAACAGAGACTTCAAAATCACAAGCTTCAATTGCTCAGGAAACAGTCATGTGTTCATTCATAACTGAAAGGCTGTGTTGTTCCTTTTGGGAAAGGACCATGATCTTCATGATCATGACAACTTTAGAAGCCTTTGGGCTTCATTTCCGTATTATGAAATATGTGGCTATGTCTGCCACATCTTGAAATTATTAGATGGGATTCCCTAAGCTGGTAAAACAAAATAAGCAAACAGACCAAAATTTCTTTTGTTATGCACTTTGTGGCACTTTCCGTCTTTTTCTTTTTACATTAAAATGAGGCTAAACACAGGGTCTTAAAGTATTTCAAGTTCTTTTTCCTCCACCCTCACTAATCGTTCTTTGTTGTTATGCTGCTTTGTTGTTTTGGTTTGAATTTTTAAGACAGAGTCTTACTATGTAGCCCTTGCTGTCCTGGAAATCACTCTTTAGACCAGGCTGGCCTTAGACTCACAAAGATCCATCTGCCTCTGCTTTCCCAGGGCTGGGTTTAAAGGCGTGTGCCACTTTGGCGGACTCTTACTTTTGAACTATTCTATTTCATGGCATTAAGCGTACTGTACCTCCTCACTAACTTTCATGTTCAAATACTTTTCTAAATAGATTTATAGAATCATAGGCTATAAAGATGCCTAAATGAGATTATAGTCAAAGCTTTTTTTTAAAGATGAAGAATGCTTAGGGTCTTATTTTAACTATTTCATAACAATAAATTTCTCACTGTAACTTTCACCCTGATCTCATCAACTCTTGCTTAGAACAATTAAAATTTCATGGAATTCTCAGGCATCAGGTAGAGTCTAGGGACCTGCAGAGAACTTTCGGCATCTCCAATTTATTTGTGACTATATTGGATTCTCAGACAACTTCACTTTAAGAAGTCATGGTTCAGTTGCTTCAATATTTTTTTTAGCGTAAACTTGTAAGCAAAACAAAATGAAAGTTCTAAGGGTGAGGTTTTCAAAAGCTTGAAGAGAAAGGATAAGGTTACAGACACAAAAGGAAGTGCCTAACAAAACAGTACCTGATGTGGTCAGATTTGCAGCAAAAAGCAAGGAAACCAAAGGTGGAAAGGCCAAGTGAAACCTTGTCTCCAAAGTCCGTTCCTCTCCCAAGTTAAGAGACCTCAGCCTCCTCGCTTCCCTTTTTAATTTTCTTGAGTACTTGTGACCAGCAAGGTGGTTGTGGTCAAAGACCTGTTGTCCCCAATGAGCTTACTTTTGATTGATGGGACAATTATGTAATAATAGTGACTTTTTCTAAATAAATATATTATGTACTACTCTTTTTTTCCTCAAATGTAGCCAATGAGAACACTGGTTTTTGTTATTTTGAACAACTGCTATCTCCATATGAAAAATATCTATTCTGAAATCACAAAAGGAAACAATCAATGAAATGACCAGATAAATAAAATAAAATAAAATGTTGTAGGAATATTTACTATCACAACGAATGGGGGATACTGGCCAGTATCAAACTCTATTGTTCCTGAGTATAATTCATGCTTAAAATAGGCACAAGGAATTGAATTCATATGTGATCAAGGCCAGTCCTATAGCTGGGCAGTTCTGAGTTAACTTTCATGTCGAGTGAAATTTATGCTGAGGATAAATATTACAAATATGTTAATTTACAAATTACAAACATATTATCAAAACTCAGTGGTAACATATCAATTAGTTAGAACTTAAACTAAGAATACTCTCATGGGAAATGTCTTACCACGGACATTGTTCAGAACTTCTCATACATGTGATAATCAGCAATAGATAGTATGGATATTGTGCCTTCTTGTTGCCCATAATCTAAGGGTATAGACAGCCCAGTGCCTATCATCATTAGGAGTGTGAGAACTTTTATCTTAGATGTGACATAAACTCCTACCTTTCAGATCCTTGAGAGTTCTTCTGGTTGAGTTGGTCAAGAAAGGTTTCATGAAAGAAGAGGGATGTAACCCAACCCCACCTCTAGGGAAACTCAGTGGTCTTGTTCTCACGATGCCATCTCCAATCCTTAACAGGCCTTATGCTATTCTTTAATTATTTCAACTGCCTTGCCTTGATTATAACTATTATTTTAAAGCAAATTCCAACAGACAACCATCAAGCTTCCACTGAAAAATTCTTACAATTTATAGAAATTTCAAAAATCTAAGACATCTAAGTTAAAGCTACCAAGTGAAATTAGTGAAAAAATGAAGATTGGATTAATTTGAATTGTAATATCAGAGATGAACATAAAAATGTAAACTATTTTAGAAAAAAATATCACCAATGGAGTATTAATAATTAATATTAATGGTATATTTACAGTCAGGAGTAAAGGTCTCTAGATAATATTTGATACTATATTCTGCTTACTTTAAAACTTAGCAGTGATGAAGGGTGGGGAGATATTACACTCACTGAACCAAAGAAAGATCTACAACTTTACTTGAAAACAGGGATGCAAAAATCCTTTAAAGTAGTGGCCTCCACCTAACCCATGCACATCCTTGTAATTTCACACTAACCAGCCTATGACATCAGCCCAGACACTAGAGAAAGTCACAGGCACCACATCAGAAAGGCACAGTATTGTATTTCCCGCCCTAAGCTAGTTGCCACAGCCACAAAATCAGAACCGCGGTAACATGAAACTGTAGTGAGGGATTTGCACTCCACTCAGAAACCGCTCATTTCATGGTTTGTAGTTTTGGATAAATGTATTACTTCATGGTAAGTGAATCTATTCCATAACTAAGATATTCCCAGAGATTCTGGGGGATGTATAGAGCAGTATGAATGACAGCAATACATAGACATCTAAGTTAAAATCTGAGCTGTAATTGGAAAAGAATCACTGTTGAAGGAAAACCCTGTGTCTTGGTCTCAGAGATAAAGCATATAATAAAATCTGAGGCTGCTGTGAAATTGACCAGGAACTAATTAACTCCATGGGAAGCGCATACATGGCATGAATTCATACATCACTTAAAACACAGCAGAGACTATAAAATAAGAAAATTGGAAGAAATTTTATAATCATCTGTTATTTTTCCTCTTAAGTCATCAACATCTCTATAATCATATGTGAAACATCTAAATTTGATTTCATATGGTTTTTTTAAGAACATAGTTTCTTCTAGGGCTAGAGTGTACAATAGTTACCGTGACATGTCATTTTGGGAAAGAATTTAAAGACTATCTCTTAAATTTAGTTGTATAGGATAAGCACATCCATTACAATACCACTTGTCTTTAAATACTCAACGGTGCCTGTGGTATTTCCTTTCCTAGAAATACTTAAAGTAGGGCAAGCACAGACCTGAGAGGTCATCCAGGCAGCAGATGTGCAGTTTAAGCTATGTTTGGCAGATATTTCCAGAACTTTCTCTACTCATTCATAACTAGTTACACAGTGCACTAACCCTTCCTTATCAGTGTGCACCTACCCTTCCCAGATCCAGGGCAAAAGCAGGCAAAAGGAAAGATGACAAACAATTCTCAGGTTCTTACTACGTGCTAAGTACTGTTGGGCATCATATATGGAAGTACTCCTTATGGTACTTATGTCCTGATACACCCATCATGATTTAACATTGTTGTAAGCCAAAATTTATCTAGTAAACCCAGTCTACCAAGCACCGTGTCTGGACCTAGCCTTCCTTAAACTTATTCAGAATACATTAGCCTGCAGTTAGCCCAAATAAACTAACAGAAAGTCTCTTTCATAGTGAAGTTTTGGTACTTCATGTAAGTTTAGAATACACTTAACCAGAAATGTTGGCAACATGGTATACTGAATAATATTGGCCATTTACCTTAGTGATTGCATAGCTGAGTAGGGACATAGCCAGCACTGCAAAAAACAATCGCAACACATATTGCTAGCCATGGAAAATACCAACATTCAAATTTTGAAGTGTATTCTCTACTAATTTCATATCACTTACAAATCATTGTAAAATTTTGATAATTTATAAGTTGAGCTGTCCTAATTAAGGAATCACTCAGAGTGTTGCTTCAGTTCATCACCATAATGATTGTGAGGTAATCCCTAGCATTATCTTTGCATTTAAGATGAATAAACTAAATTCTAGAGCAAATAAGCCATTTATCATAAGTCACCAGCTATTGGAAGACAGACTCAGGACTAGAATTTAAACCCAGGAACATTGCTCACTCCAAGGCATAGGCTGTTATCCAAAAATTTATTGTGAGTGGGAATGTGTAGGAAAAGTTCTTGGCACTACACTTAGATTATATTTCAACAACAATAAATGCCAAGTGTGACA